AACCAGGCCCATCGAAATATTCTGCATTTCTATCGCTAAACTTTTTCCTTTAAATTGTATACCCTGTGTAAAAGTTCTTTAATCGTTGTTTAATAATGTGTGCCGAATAGTTTATAATCTCTTGGTTTATGCCATTTAAGGCTAACATTGCGCCAATTCAATTCCAAATTATTCGATGTGTTTTCGATTTAAAACGATACTCCTCATTTTAGGAATGCGAAAAAAAATGGCTACATGTAACTGATCCAGAAAAAGATCCAGTAAAGAAAATAGAGTACAATTACGGCCAGTTGAGTGCTTAAACAATAACGAAAAGAAAGACCGCAAGTCAGATCGATCGTAACCGACTTATTGCTGTTAACTATGTGATTGTACTAAGTAATTGACTGTCATTTCCGGTTGGCTGGATCCAGTTATTTAAGTTAGGTGCGATTTCGATTAAAACTCAGCACAAAACTGCAATTTAACTGTCCATACATCCCCAACCTCACTTGGATTGACCTGTGAGCTCTACCTTGTATAGTTGTTCTTTATAGAAGATCGAAAAACGATGTTCATCTTTCTTGTGAAACGCTCTCTGATCTGCAGATAGACGAGCGACGCGAAACACGGTTCTTAGCACAAGTACTCGGATATCTCTCGAAACACTAAAACTTGATGATATGGAGTTAAAAATTAGTTTGATTTTTTTTCTTACCTGAGTGTTTCGCATACAGTGTAGAGCAAAAATCAGGAAACCCTGCAGCATAAACATGATTTCAAGATCATTAATTTTTACAGTATGCGAACAAATTAGAAAAAGTACCTATTAAGATTTCCAAGAGGGAAGGAAAATTGCATATCATATAATTGAAAAAGAAGTCTGTCGTCTCTTGCATAGTTAACAGCATTTTTGTTTTAAACTTCCAAAAAAATATCATGTGACCATCGTAATGGTGTTTTACTTGGTTAGAAAGTAAAATAATGATAGAGATTGAATAATTTTGAGAGTCACCATCGAACACTGACCTGAGAAGAGTTACGTATGGTGAAGATGTAAGCGAAAGCTTTATGTACAGGCGAGAGGAGACTGAATAGCCACGCGACAACCAGCAGGGGAATCATCACAACGCATACTTTGATGCCCATTCTAGGAGTTAAAAGAAAATATTCATTTATTTTCCTTTGACAGTGAATTCTCATTTTTAGATATCGTAATCCCTTACTGATTAAGGAATGAGGAAGTTAGGCGAATAAAGCCTCACAGGAGGACATGGCTGCCTCTTCCACTATTTTGTTTTAGTTTTATGTTGTAAATCTTACCGTATTTGCTGAAAATGGTTGTCTTCCCCAGTTGGCTGCAACAAATTGGTCATCTCCTTTATGACTCGTACGAGTATCAAGATGTTGAGCTGAAGAATACAATTGGAATAAATTGATTATTTAGATATGATTATCGAATAGCGAAAGCAGGAGAGGATCCTTGCCAGAGACGTTACTAGTTTAATAACAAGCGTGGGATGAAGAGTAATTTACAGGGAATAGAGATCCCAACCGGGGAGCTTTGATTATCTGACAAAGTGCGAAAGAAATCGCAAACTTAAGTGTCTAAACTGAATGAAAAATTTCAATCTACTTCTCTTACTGCCCCTTTCATCTTGTTCAATGTTTTTTTTTAGGAGTTATTTGTGCGCGAAAAACATGTCTTGGTAAATCAATGTGAAACAGTAAGAAAACATTAACAAGGAAGGGGAAGAATCTTTTTTCTCATACTATGTAGTTAAAGTTCGAGAATTTATGTAATTTTGGTAGTTGAGTTTTTGAATGAAGAAATGTAAAATGGTTTCCGTGTTTACATAGCCTGATGTCGATAAGCTGGAAACCCCTCCGCTTCGCGTCGTGGTTTCCTACGCTTATCTCGTGTTCTCCCAACCTCCCGCGTGTTTACATCAGGCTATGTAAACACGGAAACCATTTTACATTTCTTTTATAAAATAACTAATGAAAGAGGAACGAAAACCGTGTTTACGTACGCTTATGTAAAATGGTTTTATGGCAAATCAGAGCGCGCGTACTATTTGAATTATTTTATAATATCAATTAGTTCCTCGTTGAGCTGCACCTCCCCCCGCCCCCTACACTTCCTTCTTCCTCTCCCACCTGAACAGACTTAGAAAAAACGTAAATTAAATGTGAATGCAAGTTATCATAAATGTCCAACTGGAGATACACAGTTAACCTTATAAAGTTGTTACCGGAAAGTTTGTCGGAAAAAGAGCAAAAATTTAAAGTGCACGCGACAATCTCAAAAGATTATCTGGGTAACTGTAATTAATACGGACATAAAAAGTAAGGATAAATTAATTAGTGTTAGTTTGTTCTTTTTTTCGTTTTCATACAGTTTAGAATTGAAATTCAGTGTTTTAAATAAAATAGGTTAATCAAACCCATGATGCCTCGTCCTTAAATTAACATTTTCTTAACTTTCCCTGAAATCCTGAGGTCAAGTCTAACCATGACATAAAAGCTACCCGCAATACCTTTCGGGGTTATCCCTTGCACTTCCGACATGCTTTCTTCCGACAGCCTTTCTCGAAAGAACTGTATTTATTTTTTTGTCTTTCTCAGAGGGCGCAGTAACGAATCCTGTAATCTTACTGGCCATTAGTGCGGTCCGGATTTTCCTATCTCTGCCCACTGGCACGGTATCGCTTGCGCAAGCCCCGCACTACATGCCTAACTTTGTTGCTATTTTTCGTAAATACATTTCGTTTTGCCGGCTGGGCAGTATTTTTAAGCAAATTATTTGACAGAAAATCAAGCCGATTAACAACTTGTTGATCCTCAATTTCTCTCTCTCAAACCACTTTGGTTGCCAGCCAAAAATTTGGTTTTTAAATGAATTTTGGTAGCAGGTATGTCATTGAATGGGTTGACGCGCGGCCTAAAAACCATTTGCGACTAACCTAAACCTTCAGTAGAAGAAGCTCAGAAAGTTAAAGGTGAGGTATTTCTTTACAATTGAAATTATTAGTGGAAATTTCATTTATCATATATCTGAATCTCAAACAAGTTGTTCATTAAAAACCAGTGAGCGAAGTCTTCTATACTTTAAATACGCTTTCGGCAAGTCGTTGCAAGTGCGTTCAAATCGGACAGTCGCTTCCGTAATTTCACAACAGAATACGAAGGAATTCAGCAATAAAAAGCTGCATTAAAATTCCCCTTTTGATGAAAGACCAGAGTTACTCGCGTGATTGCACTAAACAAACGAGCAAACTCCCATAACTTCAAAATATACTTTTAAATTTAATTACAATTACTTTCACGTAAGTTTATTTGCCAAACCAGCGACGTTGTTGATGTTGTCCTTTTTTCTTACGCGCCCTCTAATTGACAGGCGTCAGACTGTGACAGATACTTGTGAAACAAATGTTTCAAAGTTTTTTTATAGAAGCCTTTTAAATCACTTTTTTCAATACACAAATAAAAATATTTCGGTGAAGCCTCTCTTTAATTTGCATTACCTCAGTCTGTTTCGACTACCATTTACTCGCTCAAAATTTGTTCAGTTCACGGAGGATCTTGCCGTAATTACAGCACTAACTCATTAGGGTTCTTTTGGAAAATATTTCGTTGAGTGTGGAGAAATTCTGTACAGTAAATGGTGTTAACCCGGGGGTAACATGTAATAGTGTAGTTTGATCGTTCAGGTGAGTGTAGTCCTAAGAAGGACTGTTGTCGGTAGTGGTGACTGACGTTTCGACAATCTATCTAAAGCCCTGATGTGGTAAGCCCTGACGACAACTCACTACGGAGAGCAGTTTACAGGAGCTTCCGATAGGAACAATTCTGGCGGCGCCCTGATTATCAGTAAAGATTTTAACTCTCTTATGTTTCAATTAAGCAACGTAGGAAAGCAATAAGAAATGAATAGCTTTCAGTTCGCGGAACGTAGAACTTTGGCCGATATCCTCGGGTTCCCACATGCCGCTGAAAACGGTGCCGTCTAGAGAAGCTGAAAAGCAGGCACTACTAAGGCCGAAAGGAAGAACTGCAGAGGTAAAATATCTAACAACGCCGGAAAAGGGCCAAGCAAAACCGAGATACTTTTGGTGATCAAGAAAAATATCAACATGATGGTTGCCGGATTTAAGGTCCCATGTTAAAAACCAGTGTCCTTCATCCAGAACTTGGGATAGCGAGCGCAAGTCTTCATATTTGAATCTGGGTTTAACTAAACAATTGTTGACGCGCCTAAGATCAATAACGAGACGCAACTTCTTTCCTTCCGCGACTGTTAAAGGATTCATGAAGAACGGAGGAACGACATGCTCAACAATACAACCATTATTAAGTAGCTCGGTAATTGCTTCGGCCACAAATTCTGGATGCTGAAGCGCAGATCTGTCGTTCTTTAGAAAGCACTGTGAAGGATACTGGGCAAAAGGTAACCTGTAACCACGCCTAATCATGTCAAACACAAAATCTGAAGCATCTAATGCTTCAACCCAGAAATTAAGCGAGGACTTCAAGCGACCTTTGACGCCATTGCTACCGCCTTTAACACTAAACTCGTCGGTAAAAAATCACACTCAACCTGCTGGGCATTAGTATCATCAGTGGTCAACAAACCGCGATCTAGTCAATCACGGCGAGCGCTACTCTTTGAAGTGTCCGCAAGTTTCGTGCATGTCAAGCTCAAATGACCAAAACCTCCACACTGAAAAAAGGGGAACACACAACAGCATAAAAATAAAATCCACAGTATAAAAATAAAAGAATAGTGGAGTAGCGTGTGGCGTTAGCAGACCCGAAGGAAGATCACTAACTGACAACAGCTCTGTATACGACACGCAATTAACGCGTATTGCGTAACTGAAGCACCTAATTGTCTAACACAATAAGACTGCCAAATACAGAACGTGCAGAAAACAAATATCTGCTAAACTACTTACCGCAGATATTTCGATATTCTGCACTGACCTAGTCTATAGAACGACATACAGCAAAACAGCAATTCATAGAGAATATTGGATTATGGCCTGAGTGTAACGCCATAATCGACAAAGTAAAAACAAAGCCAGTATAACGAGAAAGAGTAGGCTACTTATCTTAAAACAAGGCCCCAAACGACGAGCTGGTCTAGCTTCCGAACGAGAAGCTAAATCCTTAGACGAGAATCTCGACGAAGAAGCCGCGCAGTGTACAGAGGAGGAACCGCTTCCTTTCTCGTCAGAACGGACACGACGACGCTTCTCTTTATTGATTTTTCTCTCGGCCCGGTAAATTCTCTTCTCGTCGTCGGAGTCAGAGGCGAGTTCGTCAGACAAATATTCGTTAACGGTCGCCCATCCAAATTCGCTCTTGTCTACTAACTTAATCAGTGGCTTTAACACGCTTAGAAACTAATTCAGTACCTGACTCCTGGGCAACTTTAACTTTCTCGTACAATTTCTGCTTGAGAGCGTCGGATGCTTCGTCTAGTTTATCCACCACCGGAGGGAATGATCCAACTGCTGCTGGTTTCCTTTCCTTTTGCAGGTATATTGCTCGCGCCGAGCTCTCTTTACTGCTTGTTCAACGGAAGAGCTGTTCTCCGCGGAAAATCGCTTCACGAAATCGCTAAGCCGAGATTCAATAACCTATAGTGAGGTTATCGGTTAAAGAACCCATCGATTCAGAAACGGCAGACCGTATAACAGCACCGACAGAAGGACCTCAAACTCCATCGTTCCGATTAGAACGTGCCCTAGCTTCCTCAGAGTTGCTCATGCTAAAGAACGGTGGAGTGAGCGTGTGGCGTTAGCAGACCCGAAGGAAGATCACGAACTGACAACAGCTATATATACGACATGCAATTAACGCGTATTACGTAACTGAAACACCTAATTGTATAACACACTAAAAATACCAAATACAGAACGTGCAGAAAACAAATATCTGCTTAACTATGTACCGCAGATATTTTGTTATTATCTGACGAGAACAAGTACCTTGACCGTGTTTTTTCTAAGAACAACTATAACGAAGTCTTCATCCGACGAAACACTCACCGACCTTAACCACTACTACTACCGAAGCTAACGACAACGCAACTCCTACGACTACAGCGACTATCCCGCACATAAAGGGCATATCTGAGAACATCTCGCGCATCCTACAACCATTCAATATCCGCGTCGCTCACAAACCCATTACCACACTACGTCAGTTACTGACTAACGTCAAAGACCCAGACAAACCAAGGAACAGACAGGGAGCAGTTTATAAGATCAACTACTCCGACTGGCCCACCTCCTACATCGGTGAAACTGGCAGAAACCTCACAACCAGACTGACTGAACACAAACGAGCGACGAGGAAAGGCGATGTCAACAATCACATTGCTGAACAACACCGACTAACGAACCACACCATTGACTGGGACTCTGCGCAATGCCTAACCCACAATTCCAACTACTTTCAACGACTGACTCTGTAAAGCTAGTTCACTAACTTGGAACAGACTCCCCTCAACAGGTGTCAACCACTATCGGCACCATAGAAACGACTCATCCATGACATTAACATTACAAACGAACCGAACAGAACGACCTAACTTTACTAACAGATCGAGACTGACCAATCACGACCGACCTGAGCCACTTGAGTCTTACAGCCAATAACATCGCGGCAAAACTGATCAATCAGTTATACAAACCGGACTAAGAATATTCGACTGACAACAACTAGTCACTTGACTCTGAAGATGACTTCTACTCAGGTTGTCGAAACGTCAGTCACTACTACCGACGACAGTCCTTCTCAGGACTACACTCACCCGGACGATCAAACTACACTATTACGAGAAATTCTCCCTTGGTCACTAATGGGAGTTAGAGGGTTAACATCAATATCCATATTCTCTAGACTCTTAACTATAAATTTTCATTGGTACTGATGAGAAGAATTCATATTGTAATCAGAGCGTCTTGAGTTGGCAATCTTTTTGTTATTCTCATGTTCTCAATGAATGATTCAGCAATATTACTGGAGGGAGAACTTACATGCTGACTACCCTTGGGGCTGATAGGGTTAATTAAGCAGCGAGAACCAAATTAGTCTATTGTTTTACATGTAAGCCATGCTGTGTTCCCTATTTACCAGGACATGTCTACAAAACATGGTCCAAAATTAACACAAACATCACTTATTTCAAAGCCAAGAGTAGTATTCCACATTAGAGTAATATTTGAATTAAGTATTGGCAACTGTAGAGTTCTGAGAACTGTATTTGATAATTAAAAAACAAACTCACCGTCTGATTAAATTGGTATTCGTAAACAAAGTAATAGCTAGCTCACCTGATTGTAACATAAAGAAAACCCAGTAAGGACCCAACCAGTCTGTTGTCAGTTGTCAGACAGGCAAAAAATGGGTAGAACAGGATCCTGTACACAAGAACAGCGACAATATTCTGCAAAACTAATTAAAACAGAGGAATTAATTTTTTTTTCTGCTAGCTCATGTTGAGTGTTGGACTGCTGTGCAGGTAAAGGGGGTAAGTTTGTATAGAAACTGTGGTGCTGTGTCAGTGGGAGAGTATAACAGGGTAATTTAGAATTATTGACTGAGTTGATAATGGAAATTGGCCACTTTATAGAGTTTAAAAGCTGACATTTCGTGCGCAATAGCCCTTCAGCAGAGCAGTTGGAGGAACTGTGGGTTGTGTGTGTATTTATAGGCAGAAAATGGAGCTATGCTATCGCTGGGAATATGGTGATGAGAAAACAAGAATAAATTAGTTAAATGAAAAGCATTGTTGATACCATGGGGTTTAAGAGTGCCTATTTGAGAGATAATTTTTGTTCTGGAGTTTTTTGCGACCCTTCAAACTACCTAGATGTAGGGAAGGGCCACAAAGTGCCATATGCCGCCCAGAATGATTAGGGAGATTAAAGTATCTAGCAATCAGTTTGGATGTGTCCTTGTCATTTCTTTTTATATAGTGAAGGTGTTAAGGCTGTTGGTAGTTGAGGGTTCAAGCCCCAGACCACAACAACACTCAGGGTCTTTAAATAACTTAGGAGAATGTGCTGCCTTTGATACAACATCTGCAAATGGTTAGACGTTCTAGTCTTCTTGGCCAAGGATGATAAACCATAGGCCCCATACTCTCCTACATCTTCTCTGTACTGGTTATAAGCAGGGGACATTAACCCTCTAACTCCCAGAAATGATTAACAGGTAACTTCTCCCTATAATATCCACACATTATCCTGCAAACAGGTGATGAGAATACCCAGACTTCTCAGGTAGAAGGTGTTTTATTGATCTAACAGAAAAGTTCTTATAACTGATGAATATCCAGTTGTGCAGCAGCTAGAGGGGGAATTAATTAATAATCAGATCTTGAGAGTTAAAGAGTAAAAGAACTTACAGAACTAACAGCTGGCTAAGACACAAACCAAATGCCTGAAAACCCTGACAATGCATGTATTTCCTCTTAGTCATTTAAACTGTATGTTAAATTCTATATAACTATATTAAAATTTGTTCATAAACGCAACCGAATTATTTATCGACTACGAACATCGATACTTGACAACTTGTAAATTGGACAGCTGCAGCCTCACGGAATTTTAACGTGAATTATAGATTTACATTTTATGGCTGAATGGTACAGTCCTTCTTTCAAATACAGAAGAGGATTTATATATTCGCGAACGTAGTGAAGATTCAGCCAAGAACACCACGGAGATTTTCATATTTTCAGTTCGTTTGGTTTGGTTTGGCAATTTACACTGAGCTCTAAAAAATTCCGGAGATATGGTCGATTCTAGTTTTACAATAGAAACCAAATGCATTGTATGGCATCAGACCTTTGAAAGACAGGCGCAAAGAACAGTGTTACAAGCGTTAATTCTTTGACTCCGTTGTATCCAATTCTGCGCATAAACTCCATCATCTGCTACTACTTAAGCAGATACAATTTAGAAACGAGTGTAATTTCAAGTTTGGGAAAATACGCACTAATCGTAACACGACCACATTTATTCCATTCAAGTCCAATCGGTAAAACTTTTATAGGTAGTTTTTTTTTTCTATAGAGTCATTTTATATTAAATGAAATTGTTTTTGAATGACAGCGTATAAAACTTCAGATAACTTTTTGCAAATTTCTGCGAATTTTGAGTATTTTTCAATAAACAAACAATATACCTCGAGGAGACAATAGCGAAACGAAATAACCAAATCACTGAACGAGCGTGCGCGAATCTAGGGCGCATTCATTAATGGAAATATCGACATCCACAACAGAGTACGTACCCTTGAGAAGTGTTCTCCGCGGATCTATTCGCCATTTTCAAAGCAATCTATTGGGGCAACTGCACGTGGCTCAACCTCCCTCGTCTGACAGCTCCTTCCATTTGGTTCCGCGAATTCGAATTAGATTATGGTTATCTTATGACCTACTGTTTTTCTCGGAAAATTAGCGGAAGAGAAATAGCAGGAGTCTGGAAGCTAGCTAGGTTGGTGACCGCTGACTGAAGTACAGGAGATTATCAAAGATAGCGCGAAATGTCGTAGTGTAATGTGAACACATCACTATACTAAAATGGTTTGTAAGTCGTTTTGGTTCTCAGCGACAGTCTTTTAACCGGTGTTTTAATTATAATTACATATATTTCTACAGGATATTTGATCGTTCTTCAGCCCTGCTTGGAAAGACAGCGAAGTAAGGCGTTTCGAAAGTAGAAAATAAGCGCGGCAAAGATTCTACTGCAAAGTCGTTATCGAAGCAAGATGTAGGAAAGAGCCGAACGAAAAGCAAGGTAAGTAATGGATAATGTAGCATTTGAGAGAAAAAGATATTTATGTTATCAGGGAATTCGACTTCAGAGATGACGGAGAAAAGATCTGCTATATCACAGCCCCTGTCTGACTGTATCGATCATCATGCACTCAGGAGAGGGGTTTGCGTGCAGTCTTCAGAGATAGTAAATCTACATATGAGCAATTACTTAAGAAGGCTAATTTAAAATCTCTTCATGAAAGAAGACTACAGGATATAGCTTGTTTAATGTTTAAAGTGAGGCAAAATCTGTGCCCACCGACTGTCAAAAATTTGTTTTCATTGAAAAGTTCCACTTACAACCTCAGAGGCGCAGAGTTCCACATTCCTAGATTTAATACTGTTACCTATGGAAAACATTCCCTAAGATATATTGGCCCTTTGCTGTGGAATCGACTTTCAACTAACATAAAAACCTCACCTTCTCTACAATCTTTTAAAAAACAGATCTGTTTAACTAACCTTTCGTCTAAATTAGAATACGATTGTGAGAACTGTGTTCTATATAGCACATGAACAATTATCTGGCTCAGGAACGCTCTATGTGTTTATTTGATTTAATAATGAGTATTAAATAAGGTAGTTTTAAACTTTTAGTTCTTAATATCAATGACGTATTTAAATTTTATCTATTGTAAATTGTTAAATTAGTTGAATTTCAACTTATTGTATTGAGTTTAGGTGTCCCCTATTAGTAGAGGGTTCCTTACCCTCGGCTAGATCGATTTGACACATGAATAAAGTTTTTCATTCATTCATTCATTCATTCATGTGTATCTATGTACTCTGCAATTCACATTCCCATCTATCTTCTCGGGGAGGAGGGTGGGGGAACACC